ATGTTGTTTGCTTACTTTATTGATACTGGATCAACAGTGATTGCAAACAGCTGGAAATTTTATATCGCCTAAATGATGGGACTGTAAACTGTCTCTCTATTCGGGCAGCTTTGTATAAGGTCTCTTTATAACTGCCAGTTTGTTTGGGTGGCAAATCAGAAAAAAAAATGCTGTTTGTAGCCTGAAAATACTGTGTACCTGTTCCCCTCAGACACCTTCAGATAGGCTTTGCAGGGTATTTTCATGTGGCTTTAAATGGCAGAGCCATGTGGGCGCTGCCAGCTCTGCTCTCCTCTCGTGTCTGTGCAGCCCCTCGGGCTCGGGGGCGGCGTGTGGAGAGCGGGGGCTGCGCGTGGCCCCGTGGATTTGTTTTGCTTTCGGGCTTTGGACATTGCAGAGAGCAGGCAGAGGGAGTGCTAAGGCGGCAGAATGGGCGAGCTCCTGAGAAAGCAGAGCACTTGCCAAATTAATAATAAAGAAATTGTACGGAAAATGTCCCGTGATCCCCAGCTCCAATAGTTCCCCGGAGCAGGCGGGTGTTATTTTGGGATGGAATCCATATGGGAACTTCTTGGCACTGTGTTGTTGCCTGGGCAGAAAACCCAAACAATGGAAAACGAAATGGCCAAGGCTATCTTCTCCCGTGTGATTTCTGCCGAATTTCAGGGGGAAGTGCTCGTCGTCGTGCTTCTGGATACGCTTCGTCAGACAGCTCCAGTCATAACCTGATTTTCCAGTTTTACGTCACTGTAATTGTGCAAGGACAGTCAATCTTGTGAAGCTGCAGAAGGCTGCGTGGGAAATGGTACTAGAAGTGAATATGCAGTTTTAATGCACTTTGTCCCATGTCTGACAATTTCAACTTCCTAAATTCACCTTGGGCCCAAACCCCATCTCCTAAAGAATACGATTACAAACAGAGTGTCCCGTCTGAACGGCCTTCTTGGGTTGAAAAAGGAATAAAGTGGAACTCTGAAAATGTAACCAGTAAAAAAGCATGGGAAATAATGCATAGAGAATGGTCTGTATCTGTCTAAAGAGGTCAGGCTCGGCACAGGAGTGACTCCATTGCTTTGAGTAAAGCACTTTATTTCTTGTCCCCACTAAGACCAAAGGATCTAGCATCCCAAGACAAGAGATTTGGATGTCTCTTAGTATCCTTTTCCAAGGCCGTTCATGTAATTTGTGCAGAATGTGTAAGTTTAGTGAAGAATCCATGTGAGTTTGGTGCTGCTGGCAGAAGTCACCTTTAACCTGGACCATAATGTCACATAGCAGGACATCTCCTAGCCCACATCTGGAGCTATCTGAAAACACAGAAGTCATCCAGTTGTCCTCAGAGTAATAAGTCTTTTTTGTTATTAGCCCTTTTAAAGAAACTGTGGGTATGAGAGGCTATGAAAAGCGAATCCATTTAGTTTCCCCTTACTTCTTTTTCACTATTGTTGCTTATTAAAATATAGAAGTTGTCCATGATAAGACGATTAGCCAAAGTGCCTCAACACAGAGGAAGCAGGAATCTGAGCCTTCTGGCTAGTGCCAGTTCTATGGCTGGCTCAAACCCAACTGTCCACCACAATCTTTTTTTTTTTTTAAACACACTTACAAATCAAGCCAGTCAGCCCCCGTTGCATTCGCTCTTCCACTAAGCACCACTGCAATTTTCTTTATGTTTATTTAATTTGCAGTGAAATATGCTGTCCTTACAAAGAATGCTTTTTTGCTGCAAGGTATTTCAGGACCTGTTCTGAAAATGATTCTGCAAGAGCTCTGCTCCAGAAACCGCACCTCACATTGTTAATTCTCGTTTTCTTGCTCGGAGGAGCTGTGAGCCCTGTGCCAAGTCCTTTGTTAGTTGTATAATTCTGGTGTGCTGTGTTTACTTTATTGGTCAGGTTACAAAAATATTACGCATGCATATTTCAGTCAGGGCGCAGAAAGCTTTGGAGATTTTGCATAAACAAAATAAAATACGCTGCTCCCCCTCTGCATGCCCTCCTCTCCTGTGTTACTTGAGAAGAGTTGGGATTTAGGTTCCTGCCTCAGAATTGATTGACAAGAACAGTAACAAAACCAAGATCATTTCACTTGTAAACGGACAGTGAATGGCAGCACTGAAGAGATCAGGCCTTTGTGGCTGTCTTTATGCATGTTCAGCAGTTCCTTCTTCCTTGCTGTACAATGCATTTTCTCTTATCCAGCATGATTCTTTGAGCTTGAAAAGAAAACAAATGTCACCACTGAGAGCCTTCTGCTGTAACCATGCTGCAGAGTTTGAACTTTGAGGGAAGAAATTAGGGATGAAATTTGCTTGATGTTTTCCTTTAAAAAGCTCCCAAACTCCATTTTTTCAGGTCTGGGTCTGTGCTAGCCTAAGGCATCCACGTCCAGCCTGTTGCCTTTCCACTCCCAGCCTTGTCATGTACTGATGTGGTGAGCCCACTGGGCTGGATACAGTCCCTGTGCTGTCCTGTGGCACGAGGACCAGCATTTCAACCCCATGCAGCCATGCTCTGTATAAGGGATGCCAAACTGCAAGAGATTCATGATGTTACCCGCTTTGCTCAAAACAGAAGTATAAAACTTGCTTTTCCTTAGGGCATTGAAAGATGAAGGCAAGAGAAAAGCAATGTCCTATTTAACAAGATGTTCCAGTTTGCAGACGCACACAGAGCTGGGGAACTGGTAATAACTGCTGCTCAGCTCAAGGAATTCAGTACTTTGTTGCTTTGGTACAGAAGATGTTTTCATGCTGTGCTTGCACTTGGATTAATGCTATTGACTGGTGCTGTTAAATTTTTACATTATCTTTATTTTTGACTCTAGGACTTCTAATAAAAATGCTCGTTTTCCTGAATGGCAATGATCCAGAATGGAAATGAACCAGAATTGTGTGAAGTGAAAGTATCATTTCTCCTGATTCCAGCTGATATTTCTAGGTTAAAATTTGCTCCCCTGAAAGTATTTGGTGATTTTAATTTTCCTCTTAGCCTGACTTTATCCCTAGACCTTTTATTAATATGCAGACTTGGTCTCTGTCTTGGAAGCTTCTTTGATTTTCGTTTACCTTTGAAGGTGTTTAGGGTTAAAAGCATAGTCTTTGCTGTATCACATTTTAAAAAAAGGATACTTTTATCATTTCTGTCTGTACCGCAGCTTTTGAAGAGTCTGTACATTTTTTTTAACCAGTAACCACTTTGACCAGCGTCCTGAGATGAGGCAGCATACTTAGGTTGTGCTCAAGTTCAGATTTAAGCCTAGCTCTGAAACAGAGATGCATTGGGCCAAGCCAGCAGCCTCTGAGAAGCACCTGGCTCTTCCCAGAAACTGTAGAGGTGATTTAATTTCAACTTTTGTCTTTAGTTTCTAGGATATTGCAGATAGTCCCTACTTTGAGCAAACTCACAAATTGAGTTAAGTTGGGAGTTAAGTTTCTGGGAGTAAATATTTGTAGTGCTGAACCACAAGGATCTACGAAGTCCCTGTGGCACCATGTATGAGAGATACCTTCCTTTATTGGGTTTTAAAATTGACGTTCTGAGCACCTATGGAGTAAGCGAATATCTAGCTGGGCTTTCTCAAGATAAGTGAAATTAGTTACGTTCTCTTTGCCCCGCTGTTCAGTCTGCTGTTTTTCTGACTTTGTGAAAGCCAGGTTGAATGGATCGAAGTGTTCCTTGCTTCCTGTCCCGAGCAGGTTGGGTAACAGCCTTAGGTTTCTAAACGTTTGCCCTGTTTCGCTCCAGGACGGGTGGGTGAAGCAATCGCCATATCAGATCAGTTGGTAGGATGCCTTGAGGAGTGCCAGGCCCGGGGGACTCTGGGGCATGAGAGGGGCAGGATGAGACCTTGCCACATCGCGTTTCTAGGTCACAGGCACTATCTGTGAGTGGGAGGAGGAAGAGGGATCTTCACCAGCTGTTCCCAGGACAGGGCTGCTGTAGTAATTGCCGTGCTTTAGTCATAAGACCTATTTTGGAACACAGAAACATGCTAGGAGATGTTGTTCATTTTTTTGCCTTTAGAAAACTTTTCCAGATCTTCAGTATCAACAAGTGCTAGGGTTTGTTTTTAGTCCCAGTGTTCAGTTTGTTAATACGCTGAAAGAAAGCGATGAAAAAATGTCAAAGGCTTAGAGATCTTTCCGTAGTTTTTGGTCAGTTTGGTGTCGTCATCAGCTAAACATAGGCACGCTGGCCTGGAAGGGATCTCGTGGGTCGCAGCTCCCTTGTTTTTGCCTTTCAGAGGCACTGTCGTATTGCCCTCTTTGTAAGCGCATGCAGCTCCCTCTTAAAACTGCTTGTTTTTTTTTGTCCTCGCTTGGGAAACTTTTCCCAAATGTTGCAATTCTGATATGTTCCTCAGACTTCTGCGTGTTTCCAAATTTCCCTTCCAATTCATGTCCTGTTCAGAAGGACAGTCATTCTGGGCGTTTTCCTCTGGCAAAAAAGCTATGCTCCAGGGGATAAAGCTAAAGGAGAAAGCAAAGCCAGACTGTGAAGCTTGGACCAAAACCGTTGCGAGCCTCTCCCTGAGGTGCAGTGTTCCTCTTAAACCTCTCCACCTTTAGAAGCAAACTGCACAAACAGATCAGAAGTCATCTGCATGCCAGTGCACTTGAATTAGATAATAGATAGTGCTTGCTGGCATTGGCAGCAGGAGAGTGTAATGATCTTCATTGCACAAAGTACAAAATAATATTTAGTCCCGAACAGCATTTTGCATTGGCTTCCTCTAAATCAGAGTGATCTCGATGTTAAAAGACAAACAAACACCGATTCAAATTGTGGGTTCGGATAATTTGCTCCACCTACTCAAAAGCAGCTATTTCAGGAGTGAAGTTTTAGTGATTTATGTTCCCATCTCGTATTTCCAAGAGGCATTTCTTCACTAGCTACAGGGTGTATCCCCCCTCTCCATAATTTTGTCTTGTTTAGGTAGTACCTAAACCTAGCAGAAAAGATCGTCGCCTGTAACCTCTCGAGCCCCTTAGTGACAAGCGCCATTGTCAAAGGCAGGCAATTTGCCAGGAAACTGTGACTCCCAGGGAGAGTGTGCAAGGTTAGGGGTAAAGGATACTATTGCCAGAGAAACTGTATTCCGAGTGGATTTGTGTGGAACAACAACGATATCCAGTGACTAGTTAAATTAGCCACAGATGTGTTTTCTATAACACCGTCCAAGAAGATATACAGTACTTGGTTCAGCCATAATGATCTTCTGAAGTCAAATCAGATCCAAGCAAAATTGCATCTGTACTGGGAAAGCTTTTAAGGAATTGTGTAATATGATTCAGACAAGTAGATGAATCAGACTGCTGCAAACTAAACAAGAAGCACATCGGTAAGAGATGAGGTAAGGCTACTTGCATAGAAGTGTGAGAGTTTGATGTTAGCAGTTTGCTGTTAAAATTTGAGCTCCGGGAGATGGACACATGCGGTTAAACTGGCACGTTTTGCCGGCCACCTGCCCAGAATGTGCCTTGGGAGGAGGATCTCGGAGCTTTCTCTGAGCTTTTCAGAATCTATGAGTACTTGTTTTTGCCCTTACGGCTGCACTGCTTGTATCCCTCTCCTTTGCCACTCCTCCTGTGCAAGGAAGTCTTGCTGAGTTCAGTTTCCGAGCGGGTAATTATTCTGCTGCAGGCAATAAGGTTGTTAGATCGATGCAGAGTTTTCACATGCCAAGGTGAGGGTGCAAGCGAAGGCTCTGGGATTGTGGGCTTTTCTCACATGTTTCTCAGCGTTTTATTTTTTTTTGCCTCAGCGTGACAGCGTGAGCGATCCTGGGGGTTTCTGTGCGGGACGGTTGAGAAGCTCAGCTTTGTCCCACTGCTGAGTTCTCGGCTTTGCCACTTGTAACTCTCATTCTTGGAGTTCGGATAAGACAAGCGGAGCCCCTTGCAAGTCCCCTTGAATTACAGATCTGCTCCATGGTTTAAAGTTCTGGCGAAACACAAGCAAATTAGTTACTGTAATGGTTGGCACAGGAAGCAAGAAAAGCTTGTGTTCTCTGACCTATTTCTTTACCATGTTACTTACTTGAACTAAACTGAACGTAGAGTATTAAAAGGCTGTTATTAAAGACCCAAAGTATTCAGTTTAGATTCTCATTGGAATAGGCATTAATATTAAAACTGAAATAAAAAATCATATTTCTGTGGAGGAGTTGCAGGGGAGTTAAAAATAACATTTTACACAATAAAAATACCATGTTCTTGTGTGTGAAAATATATCTCACTTTGCACTTTCTGTTTCTAAGTCAATATAAAATGTTTATTAATGACAGTGATGTAAATCTGATAACTTTTCTTTTCAGATATGCTTCGAGTTTCTAGATATAATTCCAAACAGAGTTAAAAGGCTGTTAATTAAAATGTTAAAATTAAATGTTAATGAAAAGTAAATGGTTAAAATGTTTGTTCACAAAAATGTCATTTTATTTTCCTTTCTCCATTACTTCTTTGCAATATTTTATTTTAATCAAGCAAATTTTATTGCTTTGCATCCTCTGCTTCCAGATTCTTCTCACTTGAGCTCTGGATTCTGCTTCAGGAGATTTTGTACTTCTATTCTTAGGAATTTTTACAGGTCACATGCAAAGCCATGTGTTTGTGTGCATGCATGCGTGTTTCTTTAGACAGCATACCAATAATTAGAATAACTGTGCAAAGTCATGGCTTCATTACAGGAGAACTTACGGGAAAAAACAAAATATGCATCTCTCAGGTACCATCTGATTCTAACTTAAGATAGCTGCACATCCTGTGCACATTTAACACAGCAACAGCATATGTTTATTCAAAAACATGGTTATTTTGAAAATGCTCATACCTATGACTTTTTTCCTTCTCTTTACAGAGTCTTTGTAAACAGAAGTTTAGCCATGGAAAAGATAAAGTGCTTTGGCTTTGATATGGATTATACACTTGCTGGTGAGTATCTTCATGATTTTTTTGTCATTAACTTAGCTCAGTGAATTGCCTGTTGTTGAGAGAAAGCCAGTAATCGGTTGGGCTAGTCCAGCTAGCAGGTGCTTCCTCTGTTAGCAAATATAGCATCTATTTGTTGCAATTTCATTTCAGATGTTTCTTTTGTACTTGTTAAAGCTGTATTCGGTCACAAACCACAGTGCTCTAGTGCAGTTTCAAACGATAATGGATACCAAGGGGACCAAAGCTTAGCAGGTTTAATTGCTTCCTTAAATTCCACTGCACTTTGTGATTGCCACTGATGCAAGCATGGCTTTGAAAAAGGAGGTGATTTCCTTTTATCTTTGGTGCATATGATAGACCAGACTTCTACCTGGCAGGTAAAAACCCCTTGTGCTCTCGGAGGGTCCGCTATTTTTGAACATATTTTCTCTTTTCCTGCTTCCCTGTTGACTACATCATGACTCATTAGTGAAAAGAAACAAGGCAGAGGGAGTGTCTTCTGATCAAGTTAATTTAGAAAGCTTTGCCAGTTCTTTATGGAATATAGACTTTAGGAGGTTGCGTAAGACCTTTGAGTTTCTCTTCTTCTTTTTTTTTTTCATGACTTTTCCACCTTTCAAATACCAGACAGGCAAATTCTTTGAAACTTTTTCTGAAGAGAGGGATAAAGCTGCTGTCTCTGGTATAGTCAGACTTGTACCATGTCTTGTATTTTAAATAGGGCAAATATAAAAAGGCCACTTTCACTTTCCTGGGTTATGTTATCACAAAAGATACAGGCTATAACTGAGGGTGTCATGTCCATTTCCTCCTCCTTTCTCACTGCCACTTCCCAGGCTGCAAATAAAAAGTTTCCATCACCCTTCATACTTCAACTTAGAATTGCCAATGTGAACCGAGAAATGGGAGGCAGAATATCAGGGTCACCTAATACTAGGTTAATGGAGTGTGTCAGCTTAGTTCTGGCCTGCGAGAAGGAAATGGGAACGTGGCTGAGGGCTCTGCGAGGGGTGGCAGATGCAGGGGACAGTAGTGAAGTAGAGGGCAGAAAGTTTCCATGTTCAAGAAGCTGTTTCGGAGGCTGCCACTGTGAAATTGCAGTTTATATTTACATCGCTTGCTTTTGTTCTTCCAGGTGGTTATCCATGAGGCATTAGTTATATCTGAATGTTTTGGTTATTTGCTATCTTGTTTATTTATCTGCTTAAAGTTCCTGCCACTTTGTAACTCATAATTGGTGCCGTGGCTAATCCGTGCTAGGTCTGCCTGCGGGCACGAGCCCCAGCCCGAGGTGTTTGTGTTTCCCAGCACGACAGCCCTTGTGGCAGGGCTTTTAAGGAGTGCAAAACAGTTCAGGAAGACATGCTTAAAAAAAATAGTTGTGGGCTTCACTTCTGCAACAGAAAAACAACTCATGTGACTTTTGCAAACTGGCAGCATTTCCAGGGACTCGGATGCTCCCGGTGCGGTTGGCATGGAGCATGGAGCGCGTTGCTAACACTTCCCCTGACAGAAGGAGACTTTCAGCGCTATCCTCACTCCGACTGCTCGTGTTGCTCAAGTGTGGCTTGTGCCTGTAAACACAGAGCAAACGTGTTGTTATTTGCAAAATGATTCTTGATTTGAGGAAAGGATGCAACTGTTTCAGGCATCCTAAAAAAGCTCTCCGGGACATGGAAACCTGGAGCTAGGGAGGCTAGAAGAGCACAGTAGTGCAGTAAAACGGGCAAAGTTGGGGGGCTGGATGATAGGCTATGGCGCAGCAAAAGAAAAGAGACGTAGTCAGAGCAGGAGGCTGAGAATGTTGTTCACCTTGGAGCAAGCTGCTCTCCTGCGACTTCTGCAATGGTAAAACAGAGACAATACTGGCAGATCATTCCCAGGGAGATACGAGAATGTAAATACGTTGTAAAGCATTTTTCAAATTGAAAATATTCTGCCTGGAAAATAGTGGTGGTGGCCGGTGTGTGTGTGTATGTTTATTTTTTTTGACCTAGCTAGATAAGTAACATACAATCACCTCTTTTGCTTGTTCTTTCATGGTTATCCTTTCTTCCACATGTGGATGCTTTTTATTTGACTATAATTTGCTATATTCAATGAAATCCATAATCTTAACTATGACACACAAATAAAATTACTTATTTACTGCAAGGACTTTACAGAGTATAATATTAAAATAGGATTATATTTAGCCAATTCGAGATGATAATGGACAAGTGAAGTATTACATAAATAATGTAATGGTACATTCATTAGATGCTGAAATGTTTTCTGTCCAGTCAAATTATTCATTACACAGCCCTTCACATGGACCTGCTTACTGTCTAGATAAAGAAAAAATAGGAAAAAGCTAGAAAAGCTAGTTTAGCTGTAATTTCACATCTGGAAAGGGCATGTGCACACCAGATGATGTATGGTGAGCATATTCCTTCTGGAGGTTCTTCCAGATTTGTGTGAGGAAATAAGTGAACCAAGGAAGACGAATGGAAGCACATCTAGTGTTGTCAATGTTTTCTGCATTTTCACTTTCAGCTTTTGCAAAGCTACTTTTATAAAGTTTAAAGTTGTTTAAAAATCTCCTAAGCACTGCTCTCTGCTCTCATACGATATGAAATGAAGGCAGTCAAACCCATTAGCCTTTCCTAAAACTATACACAGGCTCCTTCCCCACTCTCTGCCATGAGCTTTCACATCAGAAATAAATCGCTGACTCTCATCCCGTAGCTGGCAGTCATTTACTTTGACAGTGCACGGGCACAGTGGTTATTTTGGAGCACCCCGAATTATCCATCTTGCAAAGAGGAGGCAGCAGTGTCAGTAGAAGTGTAGTCACTCCTCTCTTCTTCCCAAAGCAGTGGCCACTGCTAGTGCCGATAATCTTACGTAGGAGGTGATTCACTACCAGAAAAGAAGTCAGAATCAGTTGACTCATTTTGAGCTTTAGAAACCTGAGGCAGTTTCGGTTTTGCATGTTAGGATTTCAGGGGCATGGACTTACTCAATGTAACACTTATCTGTCTAGAATAAGCTAATTTTGGTAGGTATGGATGTGGCATTTCCATTTCCAAGTATATGGTAGCAGCCACTACCCCCTTGATGTAGCAATCGTGTTATGCACTACGAGCGTGACTGCAAGACTGAGAATGTCAGCCTGCCAACTGACAGCAGTTATGGTATCATCGTGTTACACGTACATAAAATATGATTCCACACCCATTTGTTTTCTAGGGTAGTATTTCTTAGCCTTATTAAATTAAAAGACCACTTATCTCAAAACTAGAAAATTTTAACTCAGAACTAGAAAGCCATCTGGTATAGCATTGTCACAGGTGTTTTTTCTTTTCCTGTCAAGTCAGTGTTGGCATTAACTTTGTATTCTTGTTATTAACTTTCACGTTCTTTCATGTTTTTTCTCTCCTTGCATATAGTTGAGAAACAGTGTTGTAGGGGTTGGTTGGGCAGAGAAAGCCTTTTTTTTGTCCTTAAAAAGAGCCTGAAGGTTTCAGCCTTTGCTCCCGGGCAGTTATGGACAATAATCCACATGAAACTGCGTATTTGTTGTCCTTATTCATCTTGTGAACTTGGAGCTACTTTGGTTACAGCTAGAATTAAATTGGCTACTAGGAGCTCAAAATAAAATGAAAACAAATTAAAATAACTCTTGCAGGTTTTAACATTCCTCTCTTTCCCATCCAGGCTTACTTTGCATCCTCTTGGGGGCAGTGAGTGCTCCTACATATATGGAAATTCCCAAGTCTCCCTAGGTTTATGTGCTGGATAAACTAACAGTAGGAGCTGAGAGATCTGTGTTAGATACCAAGTTAAATACCTCCTTTCCAGTGTGTTTAGTTTTCTTTCTCTTAGTGAATCACACATATATAGATGGTATTTTAAGGTAGATAATATTGTGAGGAAAGTCAGTGGTGCAGAAACAACAGTTTCGCTGTGGCCGGTATGTGTAGCAGTAGATAGAGAGCTGCTGCCTAAAACCTCTGGGGTCTTGAGGCGTTTCCGTGACCTGGCGCAGTCGCTGCTTCTCTGCTCCTGCCTCCTCTGCCTCAGCACGGAGCAAGGCCCATGCCTGAGCTGCAGCCTTCTGTCCTCCTTGGAAAGGAGCAGGTTGGAGCAGGCACAGAATGAAAGGTGCTGGAAAATTTCCTGTTCAAGTGCTTAAATAAGAGATTTGAGGGTCCTTTTGTAATGTGTTCTTGTCTGCTAGATTACAGTTTATTATCTGAATGATTCATCTCTACTTATTCATCCTGAGCAGTAATTCTGGCCTGCCTGCCTATTTCACCAGTCCCGTCAAAACTACCTATGCTTCGTTAAAGGAAAGTGTTGTTGCTGATCTCAAAGATTCACAGCCTTTTCTTTGTTAAAAATCAAAGGAACAGATAAAAATACATGGGTAGAGGAGCTTATTGCAACACTTACCTGAGCGTAGGAGTTGTGAGGCCCTTTGGAAATGTAGCTGAGAGAGATCGGTTTCAGGCAGGTTTTTTTCCTGGCTGCTTCCTTCTCAGAGCGAGCTAAACTTCTGCTGAGCTGTATTAACTATTAGGTCTGGGTCCAAGTAATGCAGGAAGCCTTGGCATCACTCGGTCTTAAACTGGATGGGTTGCACAACAAGGTTATGGATATATGTCTCTTTGACAGGACCAGGGCTAAAGTAGGGGGGTTTGTAAACGGACTGTAATTTCACACTAGGCTGTTGGCAGATGGAAGAGGAATTATTAAGAATTACAAACTCAATTGTGCTTAAAAAGACTCCTCAGTGACTCTCCTTCTTCTCCAAAAGCTACAGTTTTGTTGAAAGTTTTACCTCCTTGCTCTGAGGTAGATGAGCCCTAATATCAGTAGGCAGGATACTGTCATTTGGAAGGCTGCCCCAGAACATAAATCACTGCTTTCTGGATGACATGGAGACAACAAAACAAAACCATCATCGCCTGCTGAAAACTGCCTCAAATAAAAAAAGGGAAAGTGGAATTTTACAA